TGTACAATATTAACATTAATAATTTCTGTAACACTGTAGAATTCTTAAACTTATTAAACAATATAATTATATTTCAATTGTCTTTAAAAATTATAGAAATATTATAAGTAGATTTGTTTTCTTTTTAACTTCTTTGATGCATTCATCTTCTTACATAATAAATATGTATTCTTTCTTATTGTAGAAATGGACTTCTTATGTCTATTGTGTACATTGTGACAAAGCATGGCCTGGCTGGGACATTGATCTTTATAAAAATCACCCAAATCACCAGGGTAATCCTATAGAATTTCCTGGAGTCTATATAAAGGTATTTATTTATAAAATTAGAAAAACTGGTTGCAAATACTTATAATTACTATTTATAAATTACTATGTGAGTATTACTATTACAAAGGGAACTGAAATACAAGAAATAAAAGTGTTTGTCTTGGGTATTCTTCCAAGCAATATTAACTTTCATTAAATTAGGTAAATTATTTACTTCTCAAATTAATATAGGTACACAGTATATGTATGTGCACAATACTAATACAATTATAATACAATAATCTATCAATTACTTATATAATAATTTTTAAATAAAGCCTGAAGTTAATCATATTATTTGGAACGATATATTCTGTGGTAAGATTAAAAAAATGTAAAAATTAATTTAGCAATAGAGAATCCCATCACTTGACCTACAATATACCCTAACTAGTCAAATATGTTAATCCTAAAATGTTAAAGAAGTTGTATTTTTCTTCTTTAATACATAGCTGAATTTCTTAAATTCCCATGAAATTGCTTCACTGATGGAAGCCCTGAATAATATTCCTTGGGAAGCTTCACAAAGCGGAAGAAGAAAACAGGTATTTTCAACATAATTATTTTTGTAAACATCACTAGAATAATGTGCAGAGTCTTAAAGTACTGTTGAAACTCTTTTTATACAATAATACAGTCCTGAAAAAAAAATAATAATCACACAAAACCTATAACTTTAAAATTAGATTTAAAAGATATGAATAGAAAAAGACTTCACTGAGTTCTAATATCAATGACTAGCGTATAATATTAAATTAATATTAAGTAAACAAAAAATCATATAGCAAAATAATTTTATGAATTTAGAATTTTGGTCCAAAATGCAATTTTAAGAAGAAGAAATTACGTTTGGGTTCCTTTAATGGTTTTCCACATTCTACACAATTTGTGCAACAAAAATTCTTAGAAGAGCCTGTACTTAAGGATTTTCAAACAGTGGAGCAATGTACTTTAGAATATGATCCATTACGAGGAGCTTCTATAGATCCACATATTGATGATTGCTGGATTTGGGGTGAAAGAATAGTTACTGTCAATGTAAAGGCTGATTCAGTTTTGACAATGACTCCTTATCTTGGTCCAGATACAAAATATAATTTGGAAAGTGTTGCTGAGTATTCTACATCACATGACAATGTAAAATTTGTTGAAATGAATGAAAACAAAGATATTCACAACATAACTGTGAGATTACCAATGCCAGAAGGATCTCTTATGGTTCTTTACGGTGCTGCAAGGTAATAAAATTTATCATATAACTGCAGTAAGGATACATTTCTTGCATGGTTAAATATTTTCATGATTCTTTAGAGATACAATTAGGATTGGCTGTGTTTTAAAATATTTATTTCTATAGACAAACTAAAACATTACCTTAATATCAATTTTCAGTGCATGATAACAATTTTATTACATTAAATGTAGAACATATGTATTGCTAACATTTATTAAAGTTTTTATTTTTTCATATTTTGTATATTTACATATAATACAAAATTTTAACAATAATTTAAAAGGATCTTTTTTAAAGGCATTTTTGTAATCTAAAATAACTACATTTTGTAGTACTTATAACAACATATTAGTAGCTTAAAATATATTTATTTAATAATATCGAGTTTACGAAGAATAATTTATAAAACCTGTGAGGTAAAATACAATTGAAAAAAATTTATTGTTTCATAACCATTAATAAATAATTGTTACATTGTTGAAACAGATATTAGATCTTAATTTTTTTTTGTAGGTACAAGTGGGAACATTGCGTTCTGAGGGAAGATGTAAACTCTCGACGAATTTGTTTAGCTTATCGTGAACTTACACCTCCTTATCTAAAAAATTTATCAGAGAATGAAGAAATAAAAACAATTTTACAAAGAGCATTAATTTTTCAATGAGATTGGAAACAATTTTTACTAGTAAAGAATGCAATTTTAAAATGTCGAAAGTTATTTAATCACACATTTCATTGTATAATCTAGAAACATAATTCATTTTATTATGTATATTCTCTACATGGTAAAAGACATTACCGAAAGAACAAGAATGGAAAAGCATTAATGTAC